GGTGTCGCCTCTCCCTTCTTCGACATGAGGGAACATAATTTTAGATCTGTAACACATGAAAATGTTGCCTGCAGTATTTTTTTTCCTGATGATCAGAGACAGAGTCAATGATATCTACAGGAATTGCATGAGATGGTATTTACTTATTTGAATCAGTTTTAAATCTCACCTACAGTCTGCTTCAGTAATACTATGCATGTATCAGATTTATTTAGCCTGTATATTTAATCAATGAACGTCTTTAGCAGCTACAGCTTCTTCTGGCAGCATTTCACTTGCTTTTTTTAACCTGGCTCCTATTGCCTTCACCTGATACTCCGTCATTTTTCTTCTGTGGGAAAGTGAGTCTTATCCATCTTCTCAATGTCAGTTGTGATAGTTCCAGAGCTCTGTCAGATTTTTTCCCTGCTCTGATCACTTCCCCCTTGGACTGCTCAGTCCCACCTTCATGAGTGTAAAATCCACAGCCTCCACACTTGTACTTCTGTTGGGAAGGATGTACGTGCAGGTGAATATGCTTTGATAAAGGAAACTACTACTGATGTCAAAGTCTATTTTGGCCATATTCTCTGACTTTCTACTGCTGCACTTCATAGGTGACTGTTTAAGTTTTCTGCAATGCTAATTTTTCATTTTATTAACCACTTTGCTCCCCTTGAGGTGTCTCGGCTTCTCCTGGATGAGTGTCCACAGCCACATCTTTAGTTTCCCTTACTTTCTAGGAATATTCTCTGTATGCTGCACATCTCTACGATGCAGAAAACCCACAGACCCCTCTGAGAAGTCTTCCAGGACTTCAATACAAGTAGACTGGTATTGACTACTGCTCTGAGTTTCACCTCCACTGCTTCTCTGCCATCCACCTGCTGACCAGTTACAAGCACATCCAGGAGTGCTGTGAGACGAACAGGACCCATTTCTGCCACCTCCTGCAGCTCCAGGATGAGAATTACTGCTTCCCCCAGGTGCTGCAGAACTTGGCCCTGAGCCGCAGCCTAGGCTCAGTGCTGGAGGAACGTGGAGGCTGTGTCCTGCTGTGCCTGGCTGAGGTTGCCAGTGGCCTGAGAAACCTAGTGCTGATGGCCCAATCTGCTGACCAGACCCACTGTGCCTTCATAGCCGAGCAGCTGGGCCTCGTCTGGGTTTCCCTACCCAATGGCAGCCAGCTGGATTTGCCATTCCTGGACATTCAGAGCATAGTGCTGGCTACCTTGTGGCTGGGGCATAAAAGGGGCTGGGGCATTCCTGGGGATGGCTTTCCACCCCAAGCACAAGGACAATGGGAAGTTTTATATCTGTCACTCATACATGGCTAAGAACCGAGCGGCAAAGATCAGATTCAGTGAATTTAAGGTTTTGGCATCTGATGCCAACAAAGCTGACCCAAGCTCTGAAAGGTAAAGTTCATGTTGAATGCTACTGTATGCCATGATGAGAAATTGTTTTTCTCTGTCCCTGTTCAACCCCCAATATCAACACAGGCTGGGGATTGAGAGCAGCCCTGCCAAGAGAGACTTGGCGGTGCTGGTGGGTGAGAGGCTGGACATAATCCAGCAATGTGAGCCTGCAGCTGTGAAAACCAAACATGTCCTGGGCTGCATCCAAAGATTTGTGGCCAGCAGATCAAGGGAAGGGATTCTGCCCCTCTGCTCCACTTTCAGGAGGTGTTGAGGCGAACACCCCATGTGTGGAGACACGAGGCTTGACTCCATTTTCTCAGAAGGCTGATTTATTATCTTATATATTAAAATACTACATGAAAACAATACTAAAAGAACAGAGAGAAAAGATGATCAGAAGGCTACAAAGAACAAGAATAGAATAGAATGCATAACAAAAATCTTGTGACTGCTCACAGCCTTGGCACAGGTGGCTGTGACTGGTCATCAATTGAAAACAATCCACATGGACCAATGGAAGATGCACCTGTTGCATTCCACAGCAGCAGACAGTTATTGTTTACATTTCTTTCCTGAGACCCTCAGCTCCTCAGGAGGGAAAAAATCCTAGGAAAGGATTTTTAATAAAATATCATAGCTACATTTCACCCTTTTAAATTCATTAAACAGAAAAAGAATGTTTGTAATTTCTTCTACTGAGCCCTTGCAGAAGAGAGAACAAACATTTCTTGAGGTTCATCTGTTGCCAATCAAAACCTCAATCAACTGCTGATCTGGAATGGTCAGGGAAATTCTTCACCTGTAGAACATCAAATTCTATCATATCACTACAACAATCTTAAAATATAAGATAATGCAAAAAAACTCATGCAAAGAAAGTTCATTGTTTCAAGTCCAAACAGCTGGCTTTCAGGACAGAGTCCATGGACTGAAGATGTTCCTCTTTGACATCTCTGGAAGTCCCTTTTGGTCCTGAAACAGGCTTTCAGAATTCTGAAACAAAGAACTGCTAGAGAAAATCATCAAGAATCATCAAAAATCCATTGACAGTCATCAAACAATTCAGAGAAAATTTCTGGAATGCCCTGGCCCCAGCCCTTATTGAACCACTTGGGCTGAGGCACATTTTTGGCTTTTCAATGCTTTTGAGCTGCTAGCTCTTTCCACTTCTCTCTCTCTCTCTTTTTTTTTTTTTTTTTTTTTTTTTTTTTTTCCCAAAAAA